TTCTTTTCCCCCTCACTTTGCACTTGATGTGAATTCTATGTACTGAATTGAATAGATGCAAGGTCAGGAAGCATCAGTTAAGTACTAATGGAAGTGACTTCCGATGCTATTAGTGAAAACATGACTCATGTTCTAAGGATTTGCAGTTGGATTCCTGTAACTTTTGGTATTTCTCTTTCATTGTTTTCAGTAGTTGTTTTCCTAGAACACACAGTGATTGTGAAAGAATTACTATATTAAAAACAATAGTGACATTTTCATTTGTTTCAACTCATCCTAGTATGGACGAATTTTGTGTTAGTAACACACAGCATTTCTGACATAGTAGATGCACTTGTTCTATTTTTCTGATCTTGGCTGTTCAGAAATATCTTTAGTGGGGAAAAAAGGCGAATACTCAAATAGTAAACATCTCAGGGTATTTTATGTAGTGAACAGACAGAATTCACTTATCAGTGTGAATCAGTTCTCTGTTTCTGAGCAGCTGGAAATAACATCATGATTACAGAGAGAAAATATTGAGAACATCTATATAGCATTTTTTCCTGTGATAATGTTCAGATTTTCTTTGTTGACAGTAGAACTGACAAACTGTAGGATGGTAAATCACATAAAAACCTGAGCCGTATGCCAAAAGGGAATTTCTGAAGCCCTGGTCTTCTTTCTCAGGGCTGTATGGTGCTATGGGGATGAGCTCTGTGCCCCCAGACCACTGCAGCAGTAAGCGTCAGCCACAGGACAGACTTGGGAAACGATGGGCAATTCCCAGTTCCTTTGTGATTACAGGAGAGTAATTTATTGTAGTCTGTTTACCCATTCTCCACTTGGAATATGACAATAAGTTTTCACAGTTTGATTCAAGTAAAGTGTGTTACAAGCGCGTGTGGTGATCAGACTCACCGGTATTGGCGACTGGGCAGAAAGCTGAGAACATTTACCCTTTCTTAGATGACTGCTTGGAGCACCCATATTCCATTTGAATGCCGCTCATGTTTGTTTCTGAAACTGTATATAAAATATGAAAGCGTTTTTTTGTATACATAGAGGTGTAAAATGGGCTGGAGAGCAACAAAACTTATTTTGAGGTTTGGGGGTTTTTTCTGGTTTGTTAGGGCATTGGAGAGCTTGTTGTTCTCGTTTTGGTTTTCCCCTTGGTAAAACTTGTGGGAATGGTGCCTTCCCCTCTTGTCTTTGTTAGAAATCTCTGTAGGATGAGAGAACAGAAGTTGGAGTTCATTTTATTATTTCTCCTGGATTATTTTGACATTGTTTGACTGGTATGCAATACAAGAGGAATGGAAAATTGACATTTCATTACAATTCCTTCATAATTTGTTGTGTAAGTTTTACTTTCTGTCCTCTTCTGTCAGCCTATCTGTTGCTTCTACAGTTTCTCCAGTAGCAAATTTTTCAGTGGTGTATGACATGTAGGCATTCACTTGCCATTTATTTATTTCAAAATCTCTCATGAAATTTCATTAAAGGGTTAATTAGAAAAGATCTGAATGTCTAATAAGTTCTGTGGGATGAAAAAACAGGGTTTACTCAGAAATTTGCCTTATAAAGGTAAATTCAGGGTTTTAAAGGATGACTTCAGCCATGCAGCAGACATCCTATAAATCTCTGCTGCTACTTACTTAAGTGCTAGGTCTTGGTTGTGTTTGTAGCTGGGACGTTTCATGTCTGGGCAGATAAACTGCATAGCTTGATCTGTAAATGGCTTCTGCATTTTGCTGATTTCAGAATACATTGCTAGTGCATCTTGGGTCTGTGAAATCTGTAAGGAAAAGAGCACTGTACAGTGAACTGCTCACAGCTCCCTTGTTGTTTAATGAAGATCTTAACATTAAGGTATTTCCTTGGGTCTATTTGGATCTATTTGAACTGAAGACAAACAAGAGAATCCAGTAGTTCTAGTCTTGCCTTACCATCTTGCTTGCCTTGGAGACAAAAAAGAGCAAAGTAGCCCAGCTGAGAAATAATTTTTGTGTCTTGTTTGCTGCACATTGGGTACTTGGAGACATGTAAGAATTGAAGAATGGCTGAGGTTGAGAGGGACCTCTGAAGGTCATCTCGTCCAACTCGTTGATGAGGCAGGGTCACCTGGAGCCAGCTGCCTAGCACCATATGTAGACAGTTTTTGAATATCTCTAAGCATGGAAAAGCAGCTTTGGAATTGTTTCCAGCTAAGCTGCTACAAAGAGTGTGAGTGGCTGCCCTCAAACATTGCAGGGACTCAGCTCCCACAGGACAGGGGATGTGTTTCCCCTCCGAATGCACCCTGCATACCTGTTGGCTTCCATGATGACTGAAAACTGACAAATATCATCCATTTGGAAATCCAAATGAGCAACAGTATTTTACTTTGAAGAGTAAGATTTCTGTTGAAATAGGTCAACTTTATAAAGAGGCACTCTGGCACTTTGGTATGGTTGTAGTAGTATTTTGTAGTACTTCTTTTGGGCAAAGTTTAAGGCATACAAGCATACTCACCTAGGCTAGAGGCTGCTTTCAAGACCTGACCTAGAAGTATTCCAGTACTAAAAGTTTTTAAATCTGACTAGTTTCCACTGCCTGGAAGAAAGAAATCCCAGAGCAGGAATGTACTGAAATCATGAGCAGTAACTGAAGCAGCTCATCTATTCTGTTGTTCTGCAAGACGGTTTCTGTACATCTGAATGCCCTACCCAATTTTCTTCGGCATTACAACTTCAACAATGAACATACAGAGGCCATAGAGAAAAATAAAGTAGCTTTTGTTCCATGTCCCCTGTTCTCCAGATGTTCTGTGCCATGGGGGAAGGGGCAGGGGTCAGCAGAGTATTGCAGTGGGTACTGCTCCCACAGGGGCTGTGCTTCTCCAAGTTGTAATTGAAGCAGGAATGTGCAGTGATCAGCATGAAAACTCTAGTTGTTGGATGAGTAACCTTTATTTTTTGTCAGAAAAGTTTCCCACTGAGATAGTCTGACATTAAATTGTGTCAAGTTAACTCATATTTTTATTACTTTGCAAGAAAATTTGTGGACACTCAGGTTGCTAGCTCTATGTTGTATTTTCTCATGTTTGCCCCATCCTTCCCTCCACAGGTATTCTTATAAATTTTAAATCAGAAAAGCCTTTGGTAGTTACTTTTACTTTCTGTAGTATATGTATGGTTGGACAGCATCTAGCATGACTCTTAATAACTTCTCTCTTTTTGAGTATCTTCTCATATTCTTACCTCTCAACCTTCATCCTAGGAATTTTATAGAAAGATTAAGAGACCTCAAAAGGAAGCAATTAAAGTTGTCTCAGTTGGTGGAGCACAGACATGATACATGTCATTATTTGTTTTCTGAGTCCAAGGCAAACTCAAAAGGTTTTGGTTTGTTTTGGTCTTTTTTCTTCTTCTCTTAGTTCATGGGTTCAAAGATTTTTTATTTTTTTTTTTAACATATTGAGGCATTATTAAAGTAGACTTTCCTAGAATTGATTTTATTTTTAAATAAGGAAACCAGATTTGTGTGGCAGTTTCATAAATTCTGTTCTTTTAAATTAATTTTTCACAAAGGCAAGTTATGAAAGGGCTTATCTTGCAGCAGTTTGAGCATTTTGTAAACAACCAGATCTTGGATGGCCTTAGCCCCACTCAGCTATCATATGCAACAGGTTTTAAAACCTTCCTACTGTCCCTCTGCAGATATGTCCTATTTCACAAGGCTGTATACTTTGGTCCCATTGTGTCTTGAAAATTGTAGTTTTGTGATAGCTTTTTCTTCTTTGAATTTTCAAAAAGTTAGTGAGATCCAGTTCCCTTACAGCAGTGGGGTCCTGTCCTTTTCATACATTGTTTCTTGGCCAGTCCCATGTCACGGAGCAGAGAATGCAGGACAGATGCTTCACGCCTGGCATACTCAGCTGTTCTGAGAATAAAACTGCAGCGCGCAACTGGCAAGTTCTGCTGGAGGCAGCATGTGCTGGCTGTTAATGTGTGACCTTTTTGTACTCAGTAACTTGACTAGCTGTGCTCAGAGAGATTTAAAAAAAAAAAATTGGATATGAAATTTAGGCAATGGACTTTCTGAATATCCAGTAAGTCACTGCTTCATAATAAATGTATTTATCACTGCAGAACTTACAGAAGTTAAGTGTTAATAGTGCACTGACCAGAGTTCAGAGAGGTGGGTGAGCACCGTGCACTGCCAGCCAGGTTCTTGGAGCATGAGGGGCTGCAAGTGATTGGATTACAGTGGTTTAAGAAGTTCCTGTCTCCTCAGCTGAGAGTTTTACCACCACTGAGCTGACACACGGCTCAACTGATCGCCCATGCTCTATCAGACCAGTAGAAAAATCAGCTAAGTTGTGCTATTTTAGTTGCTGCTGCCGCAGAATAAACTGGGAAACACTGACAGAATGCTGGCCTGAATAGAGCAGCAATTTATGGTTGCCTCAGCATAAAAGAATTACAAATTTTTGACTCGTAATGAACAGTAATAACCTTAAAAGTGAGATGCATGTATCCCAGTCTCTTGTTTTTTCTTACCCCATGTCCCATGCTGGTGACACATGAAGCAGTGTTTTTGCAGTAAGTCTGCCTTGCTGAAACATGGCTTCTTTGGGGCCACTGCTGAAGAATGATCAAAGAAATAAACTGTGTGTGAGGAGATATTTTATACAGAACCTTTAATAATTTACAATTACATATGCTATAATTTTACTTTAAGTTCAGAATCTGTTTTTCCCAAAAGACCAATCTACTTCATCTTGCATCTTTTTGCTGCCAGTGCTTTGATGGGAGTTAAAGAACTGGATGAAGTCTAGTTGTTGAAATATGTAGTACAAATTCTTACTGTGATTGGATGTTTGCTGAGCTGTACTTCTGAGTAGTATCTAAGTGCCTTGGAGTTACACATCTGGCTTTTTTTGAATGTATCTTTTCAGAAGACCTTAATCATCTTTTTATTAAAGTTAATATTTCATGCAGAGAATCAAAAATTATTTTTTCTTTCTTTGGCTAAAGCTACACAGAGTGAGGAGCGGCTGTGTGCATTTAAAGACCCGTATCAGCAGGACCATGGAATCAGTGAGAGCCGAATCTCCCAGGAGAATGGCACAATTTTGTGCATGAAAGGTAGTACCTGCTATGGACTTTGGGAAAAAACACGAGAAGGAGACATACATCTTGTAAAACAAGGTATGTAACAGCTCAGTTTTAGTGCAGTAGTTTTCTTATTTACTTAATTTCTTTGTGATCTAGCCAGCTGATACATAGCTGCACTACTGCAAAACTAGACTTCTTGCACATTGTACAAATGCATAGTTTTAAACTTCCCATTTAACATTTTTAAGTGTGAACAGAAAGTTTGTTTGAAATGAATGACTTCTAAAAGACATCAATGCACAGCTGAAAAAAAATTTCAGATTTCTTGTTACTTACAAGGTCCAGAGGAAGATGGCTTCCTTGAATTTCAGTATATGTATTGATAAATTTAATAGTAAGTGTCGTATTAAGTAAAAAGCGTATATTCATATTGATTAGATGTTTGTTTACAAAGCAAATTGCAGCTACAGTTCACATATCTACTGTAATTCAGTGCTGTTCTGTGGGGAGGATGAAGATAGGAGGGGTGAAGGGAGTTGTTGCAGTTTCTGGAGGCATGTTTTGATGACCATTCTCAGGGACTCTGCTCTTTTTTACTTGGATGCAAGTTAATGTAGTATAAGGCCAAATGACAATGCAGCTGGTGTTTACAAATAGCCTGTGGAGCTGTAGTCCACGATTGCTGTTTGATCTTGCAATCTGCTGAAGGGAGCAGCCTGACTGCTCACCTCTGCCCCACTGCTGCCTCTTTCCCTTCCAGGTATTTGTGGATAAATGACATTTAACTGCTGTTGACCATTCTTGGGAACAAACAGTTGCTGCAGGGACAAAGGACCTGGTATTAATCAGGCAATAAGTTGTGATCCTGTAGAAAAGTCCAGTGATGCTGACAATGAGGAAGGGCAGAATTTTGAAACTTATGTAAGAAGCACCAAGCTGTAGATGCAGTCCTGTGGCCTAAGGAAGGGACTAAGTCACAATTCATTTACACAGTGGACCAGAGAGTGGTGATACGGTCTGTGGTATCAGAGAGATGAGGAGTGGCATACTTCTGCTTAGAAGGCTCAGGAGTTCAGGTTTTATCATATTTAGGCAATAGCCAGACACTTCTGATCTTGGCCTTCATCCCTGCCCACATTTTCTTCTCCTTGGCTATGGGGAGTTCTAAAAGAAATTCTTCAGGTTTTGTTTTAAAAGGTGGTAGTAAAGTCAGACAAGCAAGTTATGTTAACTGTTTTCACCCCACTCTGTAATGTTTAAGTAGGTAATGTATGGATTTATGTAGGTGTGTTTATCCAGCCAGTAGAATTAATTTTATGCTTAATTAAAAAAAAATAAATCTGTAATTTGCTGCTTTTTACAGGTTGCTGGTCTCATATAGGAGACCCACAGGAGTGTCACTTTGAAGAGTGTATAGTTACGACCACCCCTTCCTTGATTCAGAATGGAACATACCGCTTCTGCTGCTGTAGTACAGACTTGTGTAATGTCAACTTCACAGAAAACTTCCCTCCTCCTGACCCTACTGATACAACACCTTACAGTAAGTCAGATGTTTGTGTCTCTGTCACTTCATGGTATAAAGATTTAGGGAAAGAGCCTTCTTTTGTGGTACTGTTAAATGTGAAACCTGTGACCTTTCTGTGTCACAGAGATGGCAAACAGAACAGAGCTTTCTCTTAGGTAGTTTGTTACTCTCATATTCCACATTGCTCTACGAAGAATGAGCTTACACAAGAGGATTGTTTGTATAGGCAACTTATGAATGCAGCTTATATTTTTCATAATGGTCTCTAATCTTGTGTGTTTTGATATTTGGATGCCCAGCTTCATAAGCCTGTGGAGGTATGCAGAAGATTCATGACTTCACTTGAGAACAGGCCAGTGGTTTCATTAAAGCTACAGTACCTTTGGAAAGTTTGGCCTGTCTGGTCAGTCATGAATCACAGGTAGTTTTGAGTGGTAGAACCAGTCTTGTATCAGACTGCTGAAGTTCTCTCCAACAGCCTCTGAAATCTTCTGACTTCTCTGAAAGCCTCTGACTTCTTTTTTTTGCATATCTCTGGTAAGGGCTAACATTGACATAAAGTTCAAAGAATACTAGTTTGAGTCATTTTCTGTTCAGTTGTTTATTATAAAATCAGGCTAACATACAGACCAAATCAAGGGATCAGACCCCTTAACCTGTTATGACAGAAGCAAGATCATAAGTAGCAGGTGCACTCTTATATTGTTCCAGAAGTTAAGAACCTGTAAAGAAGTTGAGTTAGTGGCCTAATCTAAACATTTGGATAGCCTTTTCTAAATAGGAATTGTGAAAGGGAAGTTGAATAAAATTAGGTATGTAAATGCAGGCATAACTGTTCTGTATGTTAAGAGTTCTTTATCAGTGGAAAGTATTTTGTGAAATGAAGGTGTATAATTGGATAGCATTTACGGCTGTGGAATGCAAAAAGAAGTTTGTGTTTAGGAATGATAGTAATGAAATGAACTTCAGTGTGTAGATACTGATCACTTCTCCTTTCAAAAATGGCTGTAAGGCCTAATATTTGTAAGGAAGTTGGATCAAAATGAGGGTTTGGCATTAAAAACCAGCAGTCTTTAACTCGGAAAGTGTGCACAGGATGAATGGGTAAAGAAAGTTGGTAGAACATGCTGCCTTTTGGTTGACAGTACTATTTGTAGAACCAGTGAACAATCACCATTTGGAATCAGTGTCACTGTGCAGTGCAGAACAGACTCTGCTTGACTTTGGTAAGAGTCATTAGATTCGGCTTCCCAAATGTGACTGGAGTTAGTGTTGTGCAGGAAAATTAGACAGGAGGAAAACCAGGTGTAAGGGTAATTCCTTGTCCCTTTCTGTCCCCCCAAAACAGGAAGACCAGGTTCTTACAAAATGATTTGTGCTTGTTCTTCTCAAAGGATAAAAATTACAAACTGAATTAATTCAGTTGTTGAGTGATAAGATCTTCAAATAGTTTTAAATGGAATTTTTGATAGCGGAAGATCTATCTTAACTTGCAAAGTGGGTGGGTGTTGCGGCTGGGTCTGGGAAGCAGCTCCGTCTTATCTTAGGGGACAGATCTCCAGGGATCTGTCAGAGGACTGGGCTTCCTCCACAGGTGGGGGAGGGAATTAAATCTGTAAAGCAGTCCTTAATTCACCCAGCTGTAATTGAGTGCTGCAGCGTACATATCTACTGAGTCCAAACTGTTTTGTGTTATTGTGTCACCTTCCATTTTCATAATAGGCAAATTTGGCTTTAGGCATAAGCACAAGCAAAGTAGGTTGCTTCAGAGCACAGTTGTCTGTCTGCTTTGACTGGGTTAAGAGATGGAGATGGGCCATTCCAGCAGCAAGGATGGCCTCATTTGCCACTTTGTGTTTTATTTGTAAAGCTCTACCATTGCTGCATCCGACAGAGACACGGGGGCTGCTCCTGGCTGTTCATATCCAGCACTCTGCTAGCACTGTGTGGAGGTACAGGATACTTGAGAGAGCTGGAGGGGTGAAAAAGCAGGAAGGCTGCAGCACAAAGACTACTGTGATGTTACATTTCCAGTCGTGGAGTGTTCACGGTTTGTCAGCTCCTTCCAGAACCCATTCTGGTGCTGTAAGATTATATTTTGGCACATTAAGTACAGAATTCTTGGCTTTGGCAAGGTTTGAGTTTTTATAGAGCTGTTGGGAGGGTTTCTATTAGCTACTGGATACCTTTCTTGGGCACTCTTCCAGCCTTTCTGTTAGAGTTGACAGAATGCTGTAAGGACATTAGCAAGGTTAGCTGCACAGGCTGTGGCAATCTGTGTTACCATACCTTTTAGATTATTAAATTGAACAGGTCACAGTCAAATGGGAAATCTGCAGAAGATTAGTTCACTATAGCCTGTGAACTGTAAGAGTGCTAATCTTCATCTATATTTTTGATAAATAGTTCTTGAATGGCCCACAGTAAGGTATGAGACCTCCTAGAACCATACTTATGATCCTGGAAATTTTGAAGTGGAGGTGACTGGTGCACAAGTATGTGAAGCCTGATGAATTCAGCCAACAGTTAACTAAGTATTTGTAAATGTTTTTCTTCTCATTTTGAGTAAAATCACACAGAATAAAAAGTTCCTGGAATGACAAGTAGAAATTCAGCTGTAGTTTAAAAACTAATGGAGCCTGAACACCTTGCTGATGACCCTAATCAATTTAAAGCTTAATTTTTAAGGAAAATTGCAGTTGTTCTTTTAAAGATGCTTTCTTACAGCTATATGAAAAATCTGTGGAAACAGCAGAATACTGTTAGGCCCTTGAACTAAATCCATCCAGAAAAATAGTGGAGAATTATAAAAATTACTTCAACTTTAAATCTTTTAGCTACAGTTTTTCTATGATGCTTAACAGCAGTGTGTTGAAAGATACAGCTAGACTATAAATGATTCAAGAAGACAAAATTAAGATCTAAACACATGTTAGATATATCAAATTATCATTGTCATAACATATAGCAATTAGAAAAATTAAGTGTAATATTTAAGATAATGTCAATGTTGTTTTTAGGATGTCAAAACATTTATCTCGCAACTGTATCTGTGTAGAACAGAACAGCTTGCTTTTTCTTTTTTTAAATTCATGTTTGATTAGGGTGTAAATACATGTAGCCCAACCTGTCTTTTAACAAAATTTTTATGAAAATGAAAAATAACATTGAGGACAAGCAGGTTCTTGAAGCCTGAAATTTAATCCTTATTGCTTGTTAATGTGCAGCTGGTAATTTGAAACAATCATACATCTGAGTAGTCATAATATTCATCTCTTCTATCTTAAAGATAATCCAGGCAGATTTGAGTAGCTGTTGGTTGCTAATCCCTCCAGGTAGAATTTTGCAAATGCTGTAGGATGGGTGATAGTCTAGAACCCACAGTCTTGGGAGGTATTAAAAAGGCAGAGATTAAGATAGCTGTTTCCTGATGCCAGGAAAAGTAGTGATTGGAGAATGGTGTTTATTTCTGATTTCAGGATTTGCCTGTGGAGTTTGGAGCTACTCAAACGCAGTTTCAGAAACAGCCACACATCCTCTATCTTCAACTCGCACTTTTAGGGGAAGATATACTTTCTTCTTCTGTTATAAATCACTCATGGAGAGTTCACCGTTTTTCCATTTCTTTTTTTCACAAAAAATTGACCAAAAATATTCCATCTCAGCTTCAGCCAGTATATTCATATACCACGTAACCCTATCTAAAAAGTGTCAACTGTGGCTTCCTGAGTCAGTGTTTTGAGATGTGTTCACTTTGTTAGCTTTGTCATATATTTAGTCAGACTTGCTAAATATCTGCCAGTTATGAGTACAGAATGCTTCCTAAAGTCTGACACTGTTTTGAAGACAAATTCAGTAGTTCCTCAATCATTCATAATAGCTAGTTAAATAGAAATTAAGTAGCTAAAGACTTAAATGATCTCCCTTGTTGGTCACAGATATATTGCTGTAATGAAACATTCATGTTAAAATAACATCAAGATGAAAGAGCAATTTTTAATTTTTTTTCCCCTCAAGGCTGCTTCCTGGTGCTGCAAATAAATTAATGTAGCAGCAAATGAGTGTGAAGAATGTATTTTTCTATGACAGGTGGTGTATTTGTGTGATATGTAGAAAAAACTCCTGGCAGCAACAGTTGAGCAGTTACTGATACGTGCAGTTGAAAATTTCATAGGGTTTTCATCTCATAACAGCAAATGGTGGCTGCAGTTTTTAGAGGATGTAGGGAACCTCTGTTGAATAAGAGCACTGAGTTGTGGATAGAAAGAGACCACCTCACACAGTCAAGGGAATTATTTCTCACTCTGAAACACTGATGACGGGCTGTCTTTCCAGTGTAACATTCTTGCCTCTCTTTGCCAGCCTTCTTGCTACCCATATAAAATAGGTATGTAAAAGTCTGTCTTGAAGTGCTCATGGAATTGTGTGGAAACTTTGACAAAAGCTACCATTAAAAAAAAAGAGAAGTCATTACTAATATATGTGCCTGGGACTGGTTAATTATGATAGTAATGAGACAGTTTTCATTTAACTATTGTTTTTGAGAGGCAGCAGTTAGACTCACGTAGCTGTGGGCACGTGGCCCAATCTAACTCCCACTGAGCAGGAATTAGATCATGTCAGGCTTTTTTTGGAAAGCTGTGGCCCTGCTCACTCAGTTGTCTTGAATGGCTTTTTCTGGAGAACAGCATCTGATATTAATTTATAACTGAAATACATTTGCTTCAGCTGGGTTGCAGCACCTGATCAGCTAAGTTTGTAGCGATGTTTAAGCTGGCCTTTGATTTCTGATCTGCCTAATCTAAAAAAAAACACTCTGTAAATAAGCTTTTTCCTTCATGTGTATTATTCTTTTTATTTTCAGGTGATTTAGATATAAAGAGGAAATTGCAAACCTTTGCAAGGTGGCAAAAAGGTTTTAAAAGATGAAGGTGGAAGTGATCTACACTGATGTAGGATTGAAACTTGTACCCTGGAAATGATTTGGAGTCAGGCACCTCTTCCTTCAGTGAGGG